ACAGACTGGCGTGCATCGAGCCCAGCAGTAAGTTAATAACAGTCAGCGGGCAGCCCGTTGACAAAGTACGGTCCGCAGCTGAGACAACCGTGCGAGGCACCAGGGTAAACCAACATCGGTGATGCATAGGTACTGCACCTATTGGCGTTTGCGTAAAATCTGTTGTTCTATACGTAGTGCGTAGCTACAGCTAATGGGGCTGGGGCTCGCTCGACAAAAGGGGATTAAACCCCGTCGCAAATCCTGGTAAGATCCATCGTCAATCCCGGCAGCGGCCTTGTTTGTGATATGTGCTCCTTGGCTTTGGATAAGAGGCGTTGGCTGTTGAGGAGGGCTGCTCGGTCATGGTGTCGCGGCTGTGACTAGATCAATAGTTTATATTTTTGCCGCTAGATGGGTCCCTTGCTCCCCTGTTCCGCGCCGTCCTCTGCTGTTTTCGGGTAAAGTGGCCTGAGGCTCGAACACTGCAATGCAACTGAATGGGGTCAATACTTAACTGAATATAACTGCTTGATGCAAGAGAGCTGTTGAATGGAGTCACTTGCGGTGCAAGTTACAGGGGGGCAGGAGAGGGAGAGGGGAAGAGGGGAGGGAAGGGTTTGGGTGAGAGCGAGAACGGAAATATTTATCGGGGAAATCCAGTTCAGCTGGGTTTGTGAACAAAGCGAATGCCAGCTTCAAAGCACCTCGGTTCTCAAGAAAGAATGTGATGAGCCGGCTTTGCGGGTGTGGACATATGGCAAGACGAACAACAAAGATGCGAACTGTGGTTAACTCTAAGAATGCTCACAGCATTGTATTCACCTGCCATCGGCGTCAGGTTCCTTGTGTGCGCTATCGGATAACCCTCAAATATCTTATTCGTTCGCCACCTGTCCAAAAAGACCCCAAGGTTTGTCTGTGACCATCTTAAAGCCGAATTGAATTAGATCAGCTTCCGCTCCGCTCCTCTGTTTGACTCCGGTCGCCGTCCAGCTGCGGATGGTCTGCCGTGGTCGGACGCGGTCTGATGTGGCCTGATGTCCCATCAAGACTGTCGCCGTCCAGCTGCGGATGGTCTGCCGTGGTCGGACGCGGTCTGATGTGGCCTGATGTCCCATCAAGACTGTCGCCGTCCAGCTGCGGATGGTCTGCTGTGGTCGGACGCGGTCTGATGTGGCCTGATGTCCCATCAAGACTGTCGCCGTCCAGCTGCGGATGGTCTGCCGTGGTCGGACGCGGTCTGATGTGGCCTGATGTCCCATCAAGACTGTCGCCGTCCAGCTGCGGATGGTCTGCCGTGGTCGGACGCGGTCTGATGTGGCCTGATGTCCCATCAAGACTGTCGCCGTCTAGCTGCGGATGGTCTGCTGTGGTCGGACGCGGTCTGATGTGGCCTGATGTCCCATCAAGACTGTCGCCGTCCAGCTGCGGATGGTCTGCCGTGGTCGGACGCGGTCTGATGTGGCCTGATGTCCCATTAAGACTGTTGCCGTCCAGCTGCGGATGGTCTGCTGTGGTCGGACGCGGTCTGATGTGGCCTGATGTCCCATCAAGACTGTCGCCGTCCAGCTGCGGATGGTCTGCTGTGGTCGGACGCGGTCTGATGTGGCCTGATGTCCCATCAAGACTGTCGCCGTCCTGCTGCGGATGGTCTGCCGTGGTCGGACGCGGTCTGATGTGGCCTGATGTCCCATTAAGACTGTTGCCGTCCAGCTGCGGATGGTCTGCCGTGGTCGGACGCGGTCTGATGTGGCCTGATGTCCCATCAAGACTGTCGCCGTCCAGCTGCGGATGGTCTGCTGTGGTCGGACGCGGTCTGATGTGGCCTGATGTCCCATCAAGACTGTCGCCGTCCAGCTGCGGATGGTCTGCCGTGGTCGGACGCGGTCTGATGTGGCCTGATGTCCCATCAAGACTGTTGCCGTCCAGCTGCGGATGGTCTGCCGTGGTCGGACGCGGTCTGATGTGACCTGATGTCCCATCAAGACTGTCGCCGTCCAGCTGCGGATGGTCTGCCGTGGTCGGACGCGGTCTGATGTGGCCTGATGTCCCATCAAGACTGTCGCCGTCCAGCTGCGGATGGTCTGCTGTGGTCGGACGCGGTCTGATGTGGCCTGATGTCCCATCAAGACTGTCGCCGTCCAGCTGCGGATGGTCTGCTGTGGTCGGACGCGGTCTGATGTGGCCTGATGTCCCATCAAGACTGTCGCCGTCCAGCTGCGGATGGTCTGCTGTGGTCGGACGCGGTCTGATGTGGCCTGATGTCCCATCAAGACTGTCGCCGTCCAGCTGCGGATGGTCTGCTGTGGTCGGACGCGGTCTGATGTGGCCTGATGTCCCATCAAGACTGTCGCCGTCCAGCTGCGGATGGTCTGCCGTGGTCGGACGCGGTCTGATGTGGCCTGATGTCCCATTAAGACTGTTGCCGTCCAGCTGCGGATGGTCTGCTGTGGTCGGACGCGGTCTGATGTGGCCTGATGTCCCATTAAGACTGTTGCCGTCCAGCTGCGGATGGTCTGCTGTGGTCGGACGCGGTCTGATGTGGCCTGATGTCCCATTAAGACTGTTGCCGTCCAGCTGCGGATGGTCTGCCGTGGTCGGACGCGGTCTGATGTGGCCTGATGTCCCATCAAGACTGTCGCCGTCCAGCTGCGGATGGTCTGCTGTGGTCGGACGCGGTCTGATGTGGCCTGATGTCCCATCAAGACTGTCGCCGTCCAGCTGCGGATGGTCTGCTGTGGTCGGACGCGGTCTGATGTGGCCTGATGTCCCATCAAGACTGTCGCTGGTCGTGGGCCTGCGGGGCCAGCTAACCAGCTGGGGTCAAGGTCGCGCCGGTGCCGGCAGGGGGCGAGGGCTCAGGACCAGCCCTGCCAGATAGCCCCCGCCCAGAGGAGGCGAGATGCTCCCTCACGGTCTGGTGTTTGTCGGCCGGTGGTGACTGACTAGATATGTTTATATATGTTGAGAGCTTCTGTTGTGGCTGCTTCAAACCTAGTGCAACCAAGGCCGAGCTTGGAAGGTGGTGAGACAAGTAAAATAAAAACGAAATTATGACTAGCAGCTGATAATCAAGTAAGGTTGCGCACGCATTTGGGGCAAGCAACATAAATTATTGCAGTGGTTTTACGTGAGCAAACTGCACTCGTTTACAAATCTCAACTAGCCTATAACTGCTACCCTATTTGGGACCGTTTAGGATATTATCAGGGTCAAACGACGAACAGTGAGCAATACACTGCACATGCATTTTGCAAAATAGAAACACAAGTTTCTGTGGCCATCACTGTTAATATGCGGCCGAAGCTAAATTTGCTCTGGAAGAGTACGGTCAATGCATCCCGCCAACTTTTGAAAGCAGGCTGCCCTGATCACATGATGTTCCAGTGCTGATGATCGTTGCTACGGCCGTTTGGTCGCATGGGTCACGAGGTGTGAAGGGCTTGCAGGGTCGAGTGTGTCCTGATTGGCAGTTCGACGGTGGCCACACAGGTGCAGGACCAGGTATGTTGGCGCCAGACGCTCCGCCGCCGTGACGCAGGACTGCGGAGCCCCTTCCGGATTCTGCCCGGCCAGTAAACTCGAGCGTGCTAACATTGGCGGGATAGGCGTAAACACTCAGCTGGGGGGCATCCGGGCGGCGGCTGGAGTCTGTCCGCGGCTGGAGTCTGGAGCCCGCTCAGGAATCTGTCCCTGGCGGTGTGGCCGGGCTTGGCTCGCAGGCCCCGTATGTAGGCCGCGCTTCCCACGGCAGTCTGGTCCAGTCACCCCTTCACACGGCAGTTTGACCCGGTCACCTCTTCACACGGCAGTCTGGTCCGGTCACCTCTTCACACGGCAGTTTGACCCGGTCACCTCTTCACGCGGCAGTCTGACCCGGTCGCCTCTTCCCATGGCAGTCTGACCCGGTCACCTCTTCACACGGCAGTTTGACCCGGTCACCTCTTCACACGGCAGTCTGACCCGGTCACCTCTCCCCACGTCAGTCTGACCCTGCCACCTCTTCACACGGCAGCCTGACCCGGTCACCTCTTCAATCTGCAGCGGAGGCGTCGCTGGAGTCATTGGGTCACGCGCCCGCTGCTTGCATGATGAGTTGGGATCGACCGTGTGATGTTGACGTGAGAGGCGCGGGTGGTGCGGGATCCAGTAGAAAGAGCGTCTGACTGGGCTCAGGCGCAGTGTACATGCACTTTGTCATTGCGGAGGGACGCTGTGGACCATGGTCTGTGCGTCCGTTGAACTGCGGGCCGGCCGAACTAGCATACAAGCCGACAGATGCGGCTCTGGGCGCATCAGAATTGCACACGTTATGCTGCTTGTTTGGTGTTGCTTCTGTGATCTCCGGTTTGGGATACCAGAACGGCATGCTCTTTTGGTTGCTCTCTTGGCTGCTACTGGTGAAAAACAAGGTTTCCCTTAAGTGAAAAATATGTTCTACCCTTTGGCGCCATCACGTTTAAGTGCAGGGTCATAGAGCGGGAGCGGGGAGCTGGGAGCAGGGTATAAGAGCGGGGTACACTGACAATATGGGAACCTGAACCTGCAGGAGATGTGCCGAAAATCAGCTAGTCCAAACTGCGTTTTGATGCACTGAACAGTTCAGTGAATATCTACTGAAACCAGAAGGCGGTGCACTAACTGCCCTTGCCTGGTGCCCGCGGCTTCGATGCCGAGCGGTCGTCGAGCTCGTGCGGCATGTAACCAGCCCTACGGCTCACACACGTCAATCTGCGCCGTGTCGTTCCCGGGCGGTCTGGCCGGGCAGTTGACTCCGCCGTGTCGTTCCCGGGCGGTCTGGCCGGGCAGTTGACCCCGCCGTGTCGTTCCCGGGCGGTCTGGCCGGACAGTTGACTCCGCCGTGTCGTTCCCGGGCGGTCTGGCCGGACAGTTGACCCCGCCGTGCCGTTCCCGGGCGGTCTGGCCGGGCAGTTGACCCCGCCGTGTCGTTCCCGGGCGGTCTGGCCGGGCAGTTGACCCCGCCGTACTGAGCTTTTAATGACACGTCGTCGCTCCACGGCTTTATTGCAAAATACACCGAGCACACCAAGACGTGGCGGATGATACTGACGACGCTTATAAAAATATACAGATCAGTGTGCGCACACGAGGTCGACACGGTACACAAAAAGCAATTACAAAAGTCTGTCTCCGCCACTGGGGCTGCCGTCTGTTGGTGGACGTATGAGGTGAGTGTAATCATGTGGATTAGACATCCGCCAAGCGAGGAGAGTTCTGAGAAACGTGGCAGCCTTGTGCGTCAGTGTCTACTCCGCATTTCCGCCAGTGAATTCTCCAACCGCGGCCGTGTGTTATAATACCTGATGGCTGATGCATCAGAGACAGTAACACCTGACGACGGCGGGAAAATAAGCTGGCCGAGGCGCCGCGAAAATGCCAACTCCCTAGACGAGGACGATGATCAGCAAAAGTTGCCCATCCGTCATAGAATGCCTCGTTCTAATCATGCTATAAAGCTGGGACACAGTCTTCTTTGGGGGCGTTTTAACGGTGCTTATGCAGAGATGGCCAGCCCGAACTACACTAGGTAAGCCACTTCTAGGCTGGGGAGAGGGAAGGCATGACAGCGGAGGCTCGTTGAGACACAAGGTGAGTCTTTTCGCACACATTTGCGCTGCAAGACAGCTTTATCAGCAATTTTCAGGAAGGATAACTGGGTCTCACAGGAAGAATTACTGCAACAGGAAGTAAAAGATACGGTTATCATCAAAGCAAGCTTTTCGTAATATCAAAATAAACGAAATGAAAGCAACTGAGCAATAAGGCTTCTGAGGTTGTTCAGTGTGAGTCATTTTGTGTAAAATCTTTACTGCTACTTGAAAATGTCGTCTTCATCTGAGCCACATGCACATCCAATAGCACCGGCTTGTTCTTAACGATGTTCAGGATGATGATGTAACACGAACGGATTCATTATTCGCACTTTCGCGCTCGTCTGCTGCACTAGCATGCACACTTCTGCCCGTGTGCGTGTGGTTCATTGGGTTTTCACAACGTGCTAAGCTGCTAGGCCTATATAGCGTCGTCTGCCCCTTGCCCAAACAAGAAGATAGCACCGTGGGGAATCGAATCCAGTAACTCTGGTCTCCAGACGCGCACCGCAACCACCGCCCTATCAGCACCCCTCCACTTCTGCTTCTGAGTTGATTAAATTGTCAGTCAATTTGAGTCTTAAAGCCTCTACTGATTCTTGAAGCCAGTCAGAATCACTTGTAACAGATATCTCGTGTACATACTAACACACCAGACGAGCACGACTGTCCGAACAACCCCGTGACACATTCCATCCATGACACAAACACCTCGTCTCATTTCTTCCTCAAGGTCATGATAGTGCTGGTTTCACTTATCTAAGCCGATGAGGACACTTGGCGTTAAAATTTCGGGCTTCCTGGCACCTGCTAAGCATACTGGAAAAAACTACGTGACAGCAACTATCGCCGACTCTCACCCAGCCGACATCGTGCAAAACGCGGTAAGAATGCGAACAGCGGCACAAGCTGAATGTCTACAGCACTGAGCCGCACAGAAGTCCTCGTGGCAAAAGTGCCTGCACTGGCATGCGCTCCACTGACAACGGATCCCCGCAGTCCAGAGAACCCAGCTCTCGACGGAGAAAATCAATGTCTCCCGGCTGACTGCGGTCTGGCAGAGGCGATCCCAGCGAGCTCCACCGGGGAGGCCGTCCAAGATCTCCCCGTTCGCACCCTGCTGTGCTGGAATTGCCCTTGCAAGTAACCAATTTGGAAATTTGTTTGAGGAGAGGCTCCATTGCGCTATGATTCGACGGCTTGAGGAGAGAGGCTCCATTGCGCTATGATCCGACGCCTTTGGCTGTAAAGGTCAACGGTCACGTGGGTTCGGCAGATCGCAGGTGGTGTCCCTTGGCTCTCTCTGGCAATAGCTGAGACAGATCGCAGGTGGTGTCCCCTGGCTCTCTCTGGCATTGGGTGCGGTAGACTGAAGCAACGGCGCTTTTGATGGCATACAGAATGGTATGATGAAGCGCTTTGACGCTTCAAGCAAGAGCTTCGACAATATCGAGACGTCGCTGCTTTTTTCCTCCTACTGCACGCAATCTAAGTAGTCTTCCCTTACACGGATGTTACTTTGATTGGTCATCGCTCCTTGGCACACCGCACGAAGACAACCTGAATCGGCAAATTTTTACGCGCGCGTTTCGTTTCCCTGCTGCTCTAGCGGGTTTTCTACTTGAACGCATGCCGCGTGAAGGTGATGCACGCTTCGGTGACAACTGCCGACAATGCGATGTCTGAATGACTATGCTAGACGTTGCCTTTGTCTACCACATTGCATTATAACCGCCGGCTGGAGCTGTCTCATGGTAATGAGACTTTGAAAACTAGCGTGAAGATTTTTAAGTTTGCCAGAACATACTGAAGGAGAAGGGCGGATCAGACAAGGAAATCCACGTTACTTAAAAGAACTAAACACACAAAAGCGGAACCCAGCTATGAAGATTGGTAGCATGCGAGTGCAGTATATGAACACATAACACAAACCAATGTTCCACAACTCAAACCTTACATTAAAGCGCCGCTGGTATGTGCCGACCGACTCCAGCTGACCAGCCAGCTCACCCGGGAAACGGTCAAAACTGCTGACCTGAAACGACCTCTTAGTCAATATCACACGCAAACCTGAAACTAGCTGCCGCGCTGGGCCTCAGCGAGAGAGGGCCCGTGTTTCAAAAGGCAAACGAGTTCCGGCGATGAGTTGAGTTCCTATGAAGGCCATTCAAAGTCGCATATATACGAGATGCCACGGGCCGCATATATACGAGATGCCACGGGCTACGATACATGTGCTCATCCAGCCACATCTGTGTTTTGCTTTTGGCATACAGGGCTGTGATAATGCACCAAGAGCTTATGAGTATGTGTGCAACCAATTTTGGTTCAATTGTCCATATGCTTGTGAAATGTAGTTGCGCAGGGCGCCGACCACTTAAAAGGCGGCTTTAACCTCACTTATTTGCAAGTGAAGGCGGCACGCGTAACTTAACAGTCTCTAGTTCTAATGAAAGCGTCCTGAGTTGCCGGCGTGAATACGCATTGAAGTGCGTCAAAGCAATGCAGCTTTGCGTGTCAAAAGTACGTCGCGCTGGCGGATGGGATCGGAACGGCGGCCAAATATGACCAACTTCAATGTACACCGTACGCACAATGAGACGCAGACGCAGCCTGCCACGCGTGTGTCACTATGTACAGTGTATGCACCACTCTTCCATGTCCCCCCCATCCCCCTGCGCTCGATATCAAACGCTCAACGTACAAAGTGGTCGTGTATCAAAAGTGTGCGGTACCAAAACCGCGCCAACCGCTGTGTAAAACACGAGCTCGCCGCCGAGCTCAGCACGGCTCCGTTTCCAGCTCGCCGGGTCCAGCTGGTTCCTGGCCAGGGACCAGCTGCCGCCGGATCCGGACGTTCCCTCGAAGAGTGGCCCATGAGGCGGCTGGGTCCCTCCTCAGCGTCGATCAGTTTTGACTCTCGCCTCATCGCCGCACACGTACCACACCGTGCGGTCGCGAAGCAGCAGCGGTACGCCCACTGGATGGTGCGCCGACGCACGCGGCACGCCCTGGACGTGCGCCGGCCGATCAGACGCACGCCAAACAGCAGTGCTGAGATCATTCTCACCCCTCAATCACAGGGTGCACACGTGGCACTGACTGCTTCAATCGACAGCTTCAGCCGGTTGCAACGTATTCCATCGTGTATCCTGCTTCTTCTCCACTCCTGCGCTCTCACTATCCCCTGTGGCTACTTCACCTCGAAGGTCTTCATTCCAGCATTCCACATCTCCACCCACATTGCCACCGTCTTGTTTCCCGGCTGTCGGTCGTCAGCGGACCTCCGGAAGACCAGAAGATAACAGAGTGGACAGGCGCATCCGAAACTCCGGCAGTGCCGGCAGCACCACGGACAGCGGTCGAGGCACCTCGCCAGCCACCGCATGCGTGCCGTCCGGATATCGACCACGTCGCATGGATCGGTGTGGCACCAGCTACATATCGCAACTTTCCTTCTCGGGTTCGAACAAAGGCCAAGTTTGCGCGGGTGCGCACTACACGCGACGCGTGCACCAGATGTTAACCAGACACGCACCAGCCACCGAGGAGCGTCGCAGTTGACTTGGTCGGAAGGCTCCAGCGCCGCCCTGGACCCAAATCCGGCCTGGAGTAAGGCTCGTCTCCCACAGTGCCTGCCGCTTCCTGCTCCGGACGGACGGCTAACTCCACAGTCCACATCACCCGGCGCTGTCCCCGCTTCCCGTCGGCACCACTGGCATCGCTGACCGTACAGAAGCCGCTCGCGCCGGCGCTCGGTGACCGCCGCCTCCACCGCCGACCGACGGAAGACCGCTGCTCCGGCCGACACGCCGCCACACCTGCGGCAGGCCCTACAGCTTGTCGTAGGCCGGCGGCGGGCTCTCCGCCAGCGGCGCCGGCAGCAGCAGCGCCTCGTGGTACGGCGGAGGCGCGGCGGTGGGCGCCGGCTCGGTCTCGCTCTGGCGCGCGCCGCTATCGCCGCAGCTGGCCGGCACGCGCGGAGCACTGTCCCGCACGCGCTTCTTGAACAGCAGCACCGAGAAGCGCACGAAGAACAGCAGCAGGCAGAAGAAGAACAGCAGCATCACGAGGAAGATGATGCCCGTGAGCTCGTTCTGCTCGTCGTGAACGTCGTGCACGTCGTGACCGATGTACATCTTGGCGAGGGAGAGTGTGAAGATGACGAGGATGGTGACGACCACGATGCAGCAGCAGGACTGGCATCTGGCGAGCATCGATAGGGTCAGGGAAGCCGTCCGGGAGGGCTCCATGGGGGAGGGGGAGACAGGGCGCAAGGGAGCGACAGACAGTTGGTGAACACCAGTCGCCCAGGAGATGACGAGGAGGACATGTCACAGAGGGCACAAGCGCGATCAGCGAGTCGGAAGGACGAGTCCGTTGGGTCAGATGAAGCGACAGGCAGAAAATTCCAGAGCCGGCGAAAGCCGGGGCTAGCTAGAGGACAGCCATGGGGTCAGAAGGAAGTCTGGCTGGAAACTGTGGGGTAGGGGAGACTGAGAGACATCCATGATTTAGGGGGGACGTACAGTGTCATTCGCATAGGGCCAGAGGAAAGACAAAATGGCACAACGGACGAGGTACATCCAGGGAACTGATAACATCGCACGGATAGGTGCGTCTGTAGATAAATGTCTAGCGAAGACCTGTTGGGAGAGAACCGTGGGAGGAGCAAGGAGTACATACGGAGGAATGCTCAGAAATCTATCAGGAGCTTTAAAAGACAGCCAGACAACAACTTGGTTTTTAAGACCTTTCGTCAAAAATGGATGGTACCGTGTCATGTTCATGGTGTTTGGGTACAATGATAAAGTCCTCCACACGTGCGTTCCAAAAGTTGGAACATTTCAAGCCAAACGAAGTAAACAGTTAAAACAAAATAGGTTTTCGGCATCGAGATCTCCCATCTGTTACGCCTTAAAAGCGCTCATAGCGGATTATCAGCTGGATCATGAAAATGCGGTGACGTTCATGCGACGACTGGGATGTGTGGAGTCGCTGATTAAAGCCCGTGTTTGATAGCAAAGCAGGAACTTGTCAGGTTCAACGTGTCATTCCGCGATGTTCCCTGGTGGGGAGGCAACACCACATATCGACGTTGGTACAGTCTCTCCTCGGGGAAAGCCTGGCGGTCGTTCGTGTGGTGCAACAGGTGTGTAGCTGTCAACTGTTCATGTTCATCATAAAGGCGATGCCAAAAATTAAACTGCTGGATCCGTACGCCTGTACCGGCCGGTGCCGATGGGTTTCATTAATGCGTTGGAAAGTGCCTCTCACGATAATTTAACGGCCAGTAGTGCGCGAAAGCGGCACTGGCGTGCTAACTCACGGATCACATGACTTGACAATTGGCTGACTACATTTTGAATTGAATCAGGAAACGCGACGCACGTCATCTTCAGCCCTGCTTTCTCACCAGCAGCTACAGACGCCGTGTTGGCGCCCAGCGGCCATAGCGCAAACGAGTTTAAACCCAGTTCCCACGAGCAAGCGAAGGCCGCTAGGCACTCAACCGTCACGCCACTAAATCAACCATTGGGCCATTACGCCCCCCCCCCCCCCCACCACCCCTGCTGGAAATCGCCAATACGCACTAGCGATCATCAATGCATCTGGATCTGGCGACACTTTTACTGTTAGGGAAATGGAGACGGAAAAACGCAACAGCGTTCGGCTGATGGTGGCTGCGAACAACAGGACCCTGCGCACGTGGGATTCTCAAGGCCAAAGCCGTCTCGGTTTAAGTCACAGCGCCTCGTGTTGGAGATAGGTTTCGAAGCAAGTAACATCGGCCGCCTTCCAGCCGAAGACCGGCACACCTACGGATCCGGCAGTCCTCAGTTCCTCGCCAGCTGCAGCCGCTACATACACCTGCGCTGTGGAGTTGATGCCACGTCCTCAGCTGGTGTGGCTGCTGAGATCTAGCCAGTCTTTCAAAAAGTACCAAAACGGGCGGATCTTTCGTTTAAACGCGACATTGCGCGCTGGCTTTCACACCCTTCTATTTTTCTCAAAGATTTAGTCCAAACCTTTTGAATGGATGGATTTCTCGGATCAGAGGTCACACCCAGTAGAGGTTGTTGTGTGATCCCTGACCTTTACTAAGCGATAGAAAAATACAGGTCAACTGTAAAGCTTGGCGTCGAAACTTTTATGGTGCCGCCATGGTGGGCCCTGTCTGTCCTATCCTCTTGCGTCACCTGACCTTCAGCATGGCCGTTGCCACCGGCCGCAGGCCATACATGTGGAGGCAGGGAGCTAGAATCGCTTTTGAACTAGGGTGGGAGTAAAAAATTCCATCGCAAAAAGACCTGCGGGAGTGAAAAGATCAATTCACAAAATATGGAGCTTATGCTAGTGACTGATGCCTCAGCAAACAAAGACATCTATTTCCAGTTGGCATGGACGTAATATCAGGAACCTGACAAAACCATTTCGTTTTTTAACATCCTAGGCTATTAAAGTGAAGCAGAATACATTAACACGCGCTCCCGAATGGTTTCTGAACGGCGCGGCATAGTTGCGCCAAATTTTGCAGAGCTGTAGAAAATTGCATAGCAGATCGTTTGGTCACACAAATTTTAGATGTACCTTGTAAGGTCGCTGACCTATAACATGTCAGTCAGCCCATGGTTTCAGCGAAGGGAGTTTTTAGGGAATCGTTCAATCTGATACAACGGGGTGTTTGACGAAGACGTACATCTCTGAAATGCTTTCTTAGGCACCACAAATATTGAATGAGCACATTACGTTGACCTAAGTTCAAATATGATGGTCAGACCAAGGTCAAAACCAACCTGATTTATTGCTTTAGGGCTTGCTGTATGGAATAGTTTCGGGTACTCAATTCGAATCTATTGACAGCAGGAACCGCATTATGCATCTTCAACCGTCTTCGTAGAGGTCAGAACAGGCCATTGACCTAAGATGACCCGGGTCGAACGTTTTGCTTTAGGAACATACTGCCTAGCGCAATCTTTGTCGCTTATTCAAATGCAAATTTGTGTATGAAATGCGTGCAAGTTTGCAGTTGGAGCATCTTGCAGAGAAATTGGTCAAAATTTTAGGGGCCAGATGGTACCTCTAAAGACAATCGAAAAGGAAGGAAGGATAAAGTGGTATCACACCAGTATGATATCAAGAAAAACAAAAATAGCTAAATAAATATAAAGACTGGCATCTTTCTCCATAATTTTGTAATCAGCTGATTTGACTTAAAATCTGTTAAAGCAAGTGCTCAATTGGTGATATTCATCTTGTAACTTTAAATTAGAAGGCATTTCTTGAACTTTTCACTCATGCATTTCGGGAGTGATGCAATTTAGTGGTCAAGTTTCCCGGGAAACAAGAAACGCGTGGAGTAAAATTCTCTACCAGGCCTTGCTGGTGTATACACCAGGCTCTGCTTTCGTGGAGTGGTGATGGGACCAAAAAATGGGGGACGCGTGAAAACCTTGCATTTGGCGCACAGCTGGAGATTCTGATGCATTTCGTAAACAAACCAAACTTAATGCGTGCAAGCGGCTGGGGTCGCTGGGGTTCTTGGGCTTGGAGGTACCTGGCGCCCTTGCTCTGTGCATACATAGACATGACTCAGATGTAGGTGAGGTAGGACATAGCCATAGGTGTCCAGGTTCTGCGGAGCCTCGTTTATGCTTGGTGGTTTCAAGTGAGCTCGGTTTTGGAAGACATCTGAAATCCTCAGAAAGAGAAATAGGGGTTTGGCATGTGCGATTAGGCAATGTCAGGCAAGAGTGAAAAATTCACATAAAATATGAAGAAAAGGAGTGAAAAATTTCTCCTGATAGGGTGTTGCTTCACACCCAAAGTCGGCAATTCTAGGACACTGTGTGGAGGGCGCCTAAAGCGACTCGATCTCGCCCCGCCACGGGTGGCTGGATCGGAAGACAAGCACTCTAGCCAACTGAGCTTCAGGACGAACAAATCGCTAGCAACTCAATTAAGGGGGACGGTCACATCGGTCAGCATTTAACCAAGGCCATTTTCCGTTTTTTTCCTCCGCAGGTATAGGTTGTTCTCGTGGCACTACGAAGCCGGATCTTCAATATCAGGTCCAGTTACGAGCAGTATCATTCAGACTTCACGCAATTTGAATAGCATCCTTTTCCAAAGCAATCGACTGAGGAATAAGAAATCGGAACGAAATTCCTATGGTACAAGAAAACACCGGTTGGCAAAACAGTTTGCATGCAAATAACCACATGTTTATGCAGCACATCTGGTAAAGAATCGCTGCTCTTGTTGCTGGAAGCTTCACAAACGTGCCATCGGCCTTCGTAAAAATATCATTTTCAAGAGACTAGGATAGTCCGGCCGGGCCACTGACAATGCTCTCCTAGTTTAAATAAGTCTCACTCGGCCTGTGGTCCTGACCGGAACAATAGACTAAACTGAAGTACAGCTATCAAGGTGCTGTAAGCAATGGGTTAGCAAAAAATATGTGATACGCATGTCACTATAATTATATGAGACACACTGACTTCAAAGATGTTCGATTCGCGGCTTCTGGGAGCGGTAGGAGGCCGACCGTAAAGCATCCCTGACAGACGGCGAACCTGAAATCGCCATCCTTGCACATTATGGTAGATCAGATAAACCGAAAGCCGCCTCGCGGTGGCACGCCTGGTCTCTGTGACGCTCAGTCCAGGCGAGGTCTGCTCGTGGTGGCACACCTGGACTCTGCGACACCCAGTCCAAGCGGGGTCTGCTCGCGGTGGCACACCTGGTCTCTGCAGCGCTCAGCCCAGGCGAGGTCTGCCTTTAAGAGCTCGGCAGCTCATGAAGCACATCAGGACTCGTTTAAAATCAACATTGGAAGGGAACAGCCATGCATGGTAACGCAACGTTTTAAAACATTAGGCAGCGGTAATCTAGTCTCCACTGCAACCAGCAGAACGACTGAACATTGGAGCCAATGGTGACGAGAGAACGGCTGAAGATCGGAGCCGATGGTGACGAGAGGACGACTGGAGATTCCGGCCAATGGTGACAAGAGAGCGGCTGGAGATCAGAGCCCATGGTGGCGAGAAAAGAGCTGAAGACCGGAGCCGCTGGTGACAGGAGAACGGCTGGAGATCAAAGCCAGTGAAGGTAGGAGGACGGCTGGAGATCGGAACCGATGGTGACGAGAGAACGGCTGGAGATCGGAGCTAAAGGTGACGAGAGAACGGTTGGAGATCGAAGCCAGTGGTGATGAGAGAACGGCTAGAGATCGGAGCCGACGGTGATGAGAGAACAGCTGGAGATCGGAGCCGGTGGTGACAACAGAACGGCTGGAGATCAGAGCCGCTGGCGACGAGAGAACGGCTGGAGATCGGAGCCGCTGGTGACGAAAGTGAGCTGCTGGACTCAGCTTCGTTTAGTGGCGATGGATGTAGATGATTCGGTGAGTGTTCCAACCACCACTGACTATTTCATTTCTCCCAGATTACGGCGAGAGAGGAAAGGGATCTGGCGTAGGCCTTATGGGTCGGCTAGAAATGTCGGGTCGAGATAATACTTCAAGGAATACTTCACACAGTTACTATTCGCGCTTCTTTTAATCATTATTAACACTTTTCACAGTTATCTGTGATTATCAACATAGAAGAAAAGGGCTCGCGGAAGCTTTCCTGCAAGCTTCTCATAACTTAGAGTCAGATGCTGGAAAAATGTGCATGTGTTCGTTACGACCGGGTGCAGCTGATTAGCATAGTGTGGCACGGGCACATTCTCATGGCTGAAGGGTGCAGTGAGTAAAGGAGACCTTACAGACGACAACCTGTAATAGGGCGGTGGCACTGCAGCCAAACTCGGTATCGCCTGTACCCGCCCCATATGTGGCACTGGGGTCGCACATCGGCGCGTGCGCGGGCGCTCGGGCGGGAGCCCCGAGCCAAGGCAGCCCTGAGGCCGAGCCGCGGCTGGCGGGCGGGCCGCATGGGCTGCAGCTCCCACGCACACTCCGCATACACGACACGACTGGCGATGCCCTGAGGGGGGACGCATTGCAAACCTGCGACCTGCGATTCCCGTTGCAGCGGACGCACAATACGCACTTCGCACCTTCAATGATGTATGTCTTCTTGGCACGTGCCAATAGGTAACTGTCTTTCTTCCGATGCAGCACCAAAAGACATCCCGCACCGTTTTGCCTTAATTGAAGTCTGTCGAAGTTCATTGCGCGAAGCTCGTGTTGGTGCAGTCTGATGCGGAGGAGCGCCCTGCCTTCTCCGGCACACACGTCAGCAAGTCGGGGGACAATCGCAGAATCGTGCAACCTTAACCTGATGACCAACATATGTGACCCAGCATGCAGAGAACGTCTCGGCACGATGAACATATGGCGTGATGAGTTTGAATACGGGCGTGGTTCCGCTCTACATGATATCATAAAGCCATCTATGTAATGCGGTGTCCAAATCCCCGCCCCAGTTGATCCCGAATGGCCACGTTCCCAGCGAGCACTGCACTGAGTGCCTTCCCGTCGTTTCCAAAGCAGCTAGCTATCAAGCGCTCAGGGTCAGGTCAGGTATTCTCAATGCCCGGTCCAACGGGTTTCGACGAGTCCCTGACGGGGTTCAGCTGCCCCCACCTCTGTCTGCACCTTCCCAGTCGCGATGCCGATGCCGGGGCTGCATCGGAACTCAAACCGCACACAGTTTGGCAGCCCGATGACTGGAACAGTTTGTACGCAGATCCCCCCCCCCCCCCCCCATAACCAGCACCCTTGCCTGACCCGCATCACCATAGCGCCTCGGTCCAAGAAGAGCAGGCTGCACCCATCGGTCACGAGCCCGCCGACAGCTGGACCAGCTGCTGGTTAAGGCGGAACACGAACACGACCCGTCGCCTCTGGCTTGGTTGGTGTTGCTGCTCGAGTGCGTCTAGTAAACTGGGATAGCCAGGATAACCACAGTATTTGCCACTTCTTACTTCTCTCCTTAACCTCGTTATTCTGAAATTACCTAGCCCAGAAGATTACATCACCGAAAACAGCACTGACGTTAGTGCCGTTGTCCTCACAGATATCACCACCGATGTCATCACCGATGTTATCACCGATGTCATCATGGATAACATCACCGAGCCTAGTTGAAGTGCTATGAGGCGAAGCCTTTATCGTCTGACAATCTGCTATTGCGTCAGATGGCAATACAAAACAGCACAATACCTCGTGTTTCAGAAAGAAGTCAAAAATGAATGGAACGGTCCAAAAACCAGGGAATGCAGTTATAAGTTACCCACACTGGCTGAAAAGTCAGCCCACTGGGGTGAGGGAGCGGACTGAAGATGGCTTTGACCGCTGACTGGAGAATCCAGTGATCGAATTCAGTGGAGCCAGAAGAAAATATACCCAGCTTTGGGACCCAAACAAAGATACCATTCAGGCGACGGAGAAGGAGCCAAGGATCCATCATCGGGTAGGGCCTGCAAGGCAATCAAGTGCTAGTGCACCCAATGCGGTAAAAGTAACATTACCCATACGGTTACTTTGTGGACATCTGAGGCAGCGAGAGTGGTTGACTGGCAAGACAGCAGTAGCGCCTGAATGGTAAGGCAACGCGAAGGATCAGTTAGATACGAACTAACGTGAACGCGGGGCAGACAAGACAAGGAGCAGAAAGTTTGCGAAACACGCATCTGTAGATGGAGCATTTGGGACTACCAAGGCACTGCTTGTCAAAAAATCTGATGATCAAATAGGCCACTCGTAGATAGCCGACTCTGTCAATATCTAAGTTGTAGTCTCACAGCGTGCGGATCGCAAATACAAGTCCACCAAGCTGGCGAAAGATGCCTCCATAGATTACTCACCACCGCAGGCGCTGCATTGCGTGTTATCAAGCACACAGTTACCATTAAGTCAAACTCGAAAATCTGTCCCATTAAGCCCCCCGCAGCCAGCAACCTACTTCCTGGCCGGGTCACAGTCGAGGTCATCGGACATTTCGTCCAGAAGGACGGCTGCCTCCAGCTCTGACAGGTCAGGCTGACGTGGTGCCTCCTGATTAGGATCCGCGCGCGCCGCCAGCTGGCGCGACGATTCGCCATTGGCCGCCGGCCGCTGGTGTTCAGCCAATCGGCGCGAAGCCTCGCGCTGTACCGTCGGCACCGGCGGGTACCTGAGGAAGATGTGACCTTGGTCAAGGACGAAGCCCGTGATGACGTCATGGTAAGCAAGGTCATCTTCAGTACGGTGCATACAAATTGGCTGTCTTTAAATGTCCTCACGCTGGCCTAATCCAGCTCGCTCACGTAAGGATATAAGTAAGCAGGCCCTATATTCCAGTCCTCCCAAAAAATCCAACTCTTGGAAAATTATACTTAAAAAGTGGTTTCCCACTGCACGGAGGTTTAAAAGAAAACATGCAACACGATAACAGCTCAAAATAATGCTTGGCACTAGCAGAAGAGAACTAAAAGGCCTACATGGAGACTGCAACGCAATCACATGACAGTTTTTGCGTTTCACCCCAAGAGGCAGTGTGGCGCCCACTCACCGAATTGCCATAAATTGCATTGAATTGACTGACGTGCACATTCATCGATGTGTGACGCTAATACCAGCGTCTCGCTATTGGCAGTTTCTTCTCAAGAACATGACCATTTTCAAAAGCATTCGAAAAAAATATTCGATATTTCGCGTTCAGCTCAAGCAAAACCAAAATCGCTGTTGCATCCCTGGAGGAAATATCTGGTAAAATGTCCCCTTCAACCAAGAGATTTACGTCAGATACTGGACGATTTCACGAGAATGCGATGAAAATACGCAGGAGTTGGCAAACAAATTTAACACCCTCTCCAATGAGGAAAATTCCGCATACGTCCCTGCCTGTGTTGAGCGCTGCTCCGCAATAGGGGCTAAACTCGCTGTCAGTGAGATGCGACGACCCGCCCTGCCCCTCATTAGGTGATGGATTGATGTGGTGTGGCCAAATGCATATCAGTGTCATATTAATTTCTTACCAAATGGTACCTTGTAGGTACCGAATGTTTTGGTTTTTGTTTGGTTTGTTTTGGTTTGTTTTGGTTTGGAATGTCTGGTTCTTCATATGTTAAGCCAATCTGCGAATGTTTGACAAGTGTTCCCGAAGATTACATAGGGATTGAGATAGAGACTAATTGACTGCAATATGCGCTAGATTTTAAAAGTCCAGGGTGGTCCATATAAAAGTTAATGCATATTGTTTCCATCAGTGGCAAGTGTATGTGTTGCATAATCGTGGCTGTGGTGGTTGTAAAACACGATCAGCGACAGCAGTACTCATCAGTGATCCCTTGGTAAGAGGTACTAAAATGTTTTTCTGTAAATTATATCCAATTCTTGGCTTTGCACTGAAAAGCAGCTCATATTAACTTCAAATGGAAATTCATTTCTCATTCCTCCGCAGGAAAAAACATTGCAGTTACAAAACATGCTTTTTTTAGTTAAATATGTTTGCAACTTCAAGGACTACAATTAAAGTGGGCCAAAGAGGGGGGGGGGGGGGACCAGGTTTTGGGGGCAGGTTGGGCCAGCCTGTTCGGCTGAGCCCCAGAGCCGATTTGAGAAAGTGACACCCCGGTCTTCGACTGAAAGGCGAAGAGGTGGTGCTCCTGCTAACCGGTCTTCATTTTAGAGGCTGGGGAAACTTAGGCACATTTGGGGTAACGGTGAAATGCTAATGTAATATGCTATCTTTTGGTATGCTTTCATTTGATCCTACAACAGATGGCGAACACTTGGCAAACGTAATGTTTCGAAAGATGGTACTTTGGCACACAATAATGTACTCACAGAAGAGTTACTAAAAACGTGATTTTGGGGAGGCAGCTGGGACTTCGCGGATGTGCGTCGCCAGACAGCTGTGCATGTAGCTCCCAGCTGTGTACGAAAGCACACTATTGGCCCAAGCATACTGAACAGCAAATATCGAAACTGCAATATGTCAGTGCACCCTCCCTCGTGCACATCCGTTTCTTGAAACCCGAGAAGTCGTGGTCCTGAGCACTTAGTGCCCGTTTCCTTCCCACTACCGGACGGTAACCCGCCCGACCTGAGAGGTCACGCTCCGACACCAGTGTCATGACTCGTCCCTATTAAATCCTTCGGCGCTTATGCCTCAGTACGCCACATGTGCCCAGCACAGCGCGTGGCAGCACCGCCGTGCTGGCGCAACGTCAGTGGTGGCCGCGTCACTTGTCGAGCCGGCGCAGCGTCAGTGGTGGTCGCGTCACTTGTCGAGCCGGCGCAGTGTCAGTGGTGGTTGCGTCACTTGTCGAGCCGGCGCAACGTCAGTGGTGGTCGCGTCACCTGTCGGGCCGGCGCAACGTCAGTGGTGGTCGTGTCACTTGTCGAGCCGGCGCAGTGTCAGTGGTGGTCGCGTCACTTGTCGAGCCGGCGCAGCGTCAGTGGTGGTCGCGTCACTTGTCGAGCCGGCGCAGCGTCAGTGGTGGTCGCGTCACCTGTCGGGCCGGCGCGGCGTCAGTGGTGGTCGTGTCACTTGTCGAGCCGGCGCAGCGTCAGTGGTGGTCGCGTCACTTGTCGAGCCGGCGCAGCGTCAGTGGTGGTCGCGTCACTTGTCGAGCCGGCGCAGCGTCAGTGGTGGTCGCGTCACTTGTCGAGCCGGCGCAGCGTCAGTGGTGGTCGCGTCACCTGTCGGGCCGGCGCAACGTCAGTAGTGGTCGTGTCACTTGTCGAGCCGGCGCAGCGTCAGTGGTGGTCGCGTCACTTGTCGGGCCGACGCAAAGTCAGTGGTGGTCGCGCCACTTGTCAGTGGCCTTGCCGATCGTCCCATCGATTGCAAGTGTGATCAGTGTGGTAGTGTGGTCGTGTGCAACATGTGGCCATCCACAACATGTGATCGCACCAGCCATGTGGGCCATGCGTACCCCATTCGTTATGCGTTCACCAGACCAGACATGTATCTGGACCACGAGGGTTAGATTCGTGGCTAGTAGCCATGCACCAGGTGCACCGTGTGGCCGCGTGGCCACGAGACCACGTGACCGCCGCCGGTGGCGCGTCGCTCACCTGTGCACGGGCGCCGGCATGGGTGGGGCGGAGCGCTTGGGTCGGGGCCGCGGCGCGCTGGACCAGGAGGCCGAGGACACGTGGTGATGGCTCCAGGCGTGCGGACTCCGCTTCGCTACCCAGAAATGCATCGCACGGGTCGGCTCAGGACGCCAGGCTGCCGAGCACTGCCATGGACTCGGCCAGCTGCGGGGAGAGGCGGCCGGTCAGTTCGGGGCGCGCGGAGAGCCGCTCAGCGGGCGCCCCCGCGTGGTGGCTCTTGAGCCACGCGGCCGGTCGAGACATCCGGCCACGGTAGCAGTCGATGACGTCATTGCTGGAGAGCTGGATAGAACGCGGCTGCAGATAGGTAAACTGGCCAAACTGGACATAAAAACGTTCTCATGTCATCTGAGTGGATAAATACCTGATCAAGGCATCTCCAGAGAAGACATGCATTGCCAAATTGTGAACTGTAGTTGTTGGTTCTTTCGGGAGAATTTTGGGATTGAAAGACATTGTCGCCTCTCTTACAAAGTGTTCGCCAAACTAACGTTAATGTGCCGAAAAAGTTCAGCAAGCACTGCAGCAGTATGCATTTCACGGCACGTGATCCGATTTTGCAGGTTCCCACCATGTTGGAGACGCGCATGATAGTTGCAACGTTCCGCCAGTATGTTTAAAGGGAGTGTGTCTAGTCAAGTTAGGATTTTGACTGTGCACGTATGATAATAGGGAATTTCGATTTACAGATATTGTTGTGACTGGTTTCTACAAGTTCGCCTCCACTGACAAGATATTGCTACAGCCTCCACATTTTCTTTGGTTTGTATGACAAAACAAATCTATCGGGTAGCTCCCAAACATTAATCACTAGTAAACACATCGACATCATTGGGAAGGTATGGTTAGCTTTCGAGAACGTCGCTTGTCATCGCTGATAGCAGCTTGTGAACGCAGCGATGGCCATTACGTTGATGTTTTTTTGTTGCTTACATTCAGCTGAGGGCTGCGAGTGTATGGGTTTAGACGCACGGGAAATGTGATTGTTCTACGATACTAAGCAACCAAAATAATGGCCATGTCCAAGGCTATCTAACGAGGTAGAGCCGTCCGGTGCGAAAAAGTGGCAACATCGAGCTTGCTTGAGAATAGAGGAAGTTTGGAAGCAAAGCCTGCGTGACGTCAAGTATACTATATTTGACGACGTAAATGGCACAGAAGCCTCTCAATTTGCCAGCTGACTGCTACACGACCCAATAGTTTGAAAAGTGAGTATATTTTGGTGGCGTGCTGCTGGCGGTTCCCGGCTGGACTGAGAATAAATTATCCGTCATTTCGATATTCACAGACATTTCTGGAATGGACAGTGAGTCATGGAACAGTTTAGCCTCATCAGAATGTGGATTTTTGCATGCATGATGATATAAAACGGGGTTACATGTCATGCGGCGTTTGTGGTGTATTGCATTCCATGGCCAGGCTTGTCCAAGGCTGGCTTGTCGTTAGATAGCCTTAGGCCTGTCTGTGCCTTTTGTGCCTGGTGGCAGAGTTGAACAGCTGAACTCGCATACTTTGCTCTGTCTATAGGTGTGAGTGTATGGACATTTGCAATATTGATTTGTAATAGATCCCACTCTTCCTATCACAGTGATGTGAGTACAGTAAGGTAAGTACTGTAAAACCATATGATACTGGCCTTATGGCGCTGCAGTCAAGAGTTTTATACTTCAGGGCTTGTACACATATGCATAATAAAATATTCACAGGCCGAGCATTTTAAATGTTACCAATCGTCCAAAACAAACCGCACAAGAGATCTCTCGCACAAGGCGTAGTCATGACAACTGATCGCAACCCACGGATATGAGACGCTAAGCAACCGCGATACGCGATGCGCTACAAATGCCGCATGACGTTTACTCCCAGGTTATGCACACCCCACAGAAGAATATAAATTTCTGACGTGGTTAAATTGTTCCGAGATTCAATCTCCCTTCCAGAATTGTGTTTGCATGACAACACCGTGGACAATTCATTCAAAGTCCAACCGGGATGCGCCAGCCGCACGCCACCAAAACATACTCACCGTTCAAACTAATGGGTTCTGTAGCAGTCAGCTGGCTAACTGAGAGGCTTCCGTGCCACTGACGTCATCAAATATGGCGTACATGACGTCATGCAGGCTTTGTGTCCAGAGCACCTCTTTTCCCACGCAGCTCAATGTTGCCACTTTTTGAAAGTGTTGAACGATACGGATGAAATCCCCTGGCCATGTCTCTAGCGCGGAGTTACTTGCCACATATATGCAAGTGTATTCGTCCTTTCCTGCCCGCTGATTGGTTTATCCTTTAGCATTGCATTTGTGAACCCACAGCCACCGATGGGATGGATAACAATAAATGAATCAAGACAGTTGCAAGACTCAAATGCACATTTAGCAACCATATTAACCATAGATAATTGCGAAATTCTCCTCAAGCGTATATTGAGAAAACCGAAAACATCAGGCACACGCCCTTTAAGAGAGAAAAGTTGCTAGAAAACACCTAAGTGACGAAGATTGTTTGAAATATTTTAATCATCCCCAAAACGAAAACTTAGCCTTGATTGCTAACGAGTCGCTAGTAACGGAACACTGCTGCATTCGCGGATGCATTTCAGAAAAGCTGCTGCAAATGCAAAAACACCTTCCTGCAAGCTACATCAAATGACAAACTGCTTTTGAGGTAGTCGATGTTCACATATGCACTGTTTGTCTTACTGGAAAAGAGCCAATAAGCATGCACATACCAACCCGTAGCTCTTTCGCCAGCTGTTGAACCCACCCTACAATTTATACGGGCTCTGAGACATCATCACACTGCCACTGCACCACGACTGGCCAAAATTGTTATGTTGTATTGTTTGCGGTGCTCGTATAGGCGGATGGTGTATGTCGTTACCTCCTGTAACCACTTGTTCTGATCGTCGACGCTGAGTCAGAAAAACCCATCGACTTCCAGCGGAGGCACGGGACTGAACAAGGGTGTAAATATATACTTAACCGTTTGCCTGCAGGAATAAACTCTAAAACCCGGGTGTCATTTTTCACGGCAAAAGGGTTAGAATCTTGTTCAGTCCATTACACACAGTTACAAACGACCAGATCGTTCCAGGTGCTCCACAAGTTTCCTGTGTGTGTGGCTTCCCAGCGCCCGCACTGGGCCCAGACAGTTTGACGGGCAGCTTGGCCGAGACCTGCCATTCTGGAGACGGCCGCCGGTCAGGCACGGCGTGCTCCGAGGCTCCGAGAAGCAGCGACACGTCTGAGATCGGGCGAGCGCAGCGGCGAGCAGACCGGTGCGCGAATGTCTGCAGCGGCACCACTCAGACCTACTGGTGCTGGTGTGGTCCCGAGCCCTCGGCCAGCACAGTGACCAGACGTCCAGAAGTTTACATGTCTGCGGCGGCATCACTCAGACCTACTGGTGCTGGTGTGGTCCCGAGCCCTCGGCCAGCACAGTGAGCAGACGTCCAGAAGTTTCCATGTCTGCAGCGGCACCACTCGGACATACTGGTGCTGGTGTGGTCCCGAGCCCTCGGCCAGCACAGTGACCAGACGTCCAGAAGTTTGCATGTCTGCAGCGGCACCACTCAGACATACTGGTGCTGGTGTGGTCCCGAGCCCTCGGCCAGCACAGTGGCCAGACGTCCAGAAGTTTGCGTGGCAACAGCCCGTACATCTCTCCACGTTACCGCGTCACCGGCTTGCCCTCGGTGAAAGGTATCGATGGCAACAGATCACAAGGGCCAGCCAATGCAAGTTTCTAGCGCTACGCTTAACACTTGGCCACGAAAACAAGCAAAAGATGCCTGGCGAGGCGCTTTGTGAGGAGGTTTGGTCAACGCTTTGCTATGTCTACGGCATAACCACACTCTATACCACTACCTTCTTTTCTGTTTGTGCCAGCTGTTCCAGCAGTTTGTTTTTACAGAGTCTCTAATGTGTGTGTTTTTCAGTCGAGGTTGCCGCTCCACGTCCAGTTCGCGATATTTATGCACACATGCTCTGAAATGCGTGCTGACTTCGGAGCACATCTGCCTCCTTATTCCCTTATTTTCGAACTAACGCAAACATGATGGCTGACCAGCACAAAACGGGACTGAACTCGAAAAATCTAGTTTGCATTGGTCTGGAACAATCTGATGGTTCCAGTGCATGTTGCATTTGTTGCTCATAATCAGCCACTTATGGTACAAACGTATCGAAAATAGCCCTTACCATTAACAACCCGTCGCTGTACTAAAACAGCACATATGCTCCCAAGTCTGGCCTTTGGATAGCAGCGCACTGAGACGCTACAGGCGGCGGCAGTATACTCTACAGGCGGCAGTATACTCTACAGGCGGCAGTATACTCTACAGGCGGCAGTACACTCTACAGGCGGCAGTATACTCTACAGGCGGCAGTACACTCTACAGGCGGCAGTATACTCTACAGGCGGCAGTATACTCTACAGGCGGCAGTATACTCTACAGGCGGCAGTATACTCTACAGGCGGCAGTATACTCTACAGGCGGCAGTATACTCTACAGGCGGCAGTATACTCTACAGGCGGCAGTATACTCTACAGGCGGCAGTATACTCTACAGGCGGCAGTGTACTCTACAGGCGGCAGTATACTCTACAGGCGGCAGTATACTCTACAGGCGGCAGTATACTCTACAGGCGGCAGTATACTCTACAGGCGGCAGTATACTCTACAGGCGGCAGTATACTCTACAGGCGGCAGTATACTCTACAGGCGGCAGTATACTCTACAGGCGGCAGTATACTCTACAGGCGGCAGTGTACTCTACAGGCGGCAGTATACTCTACAGGCGGCAGTATACTCTACAGGCGGCAGTATACTCTACAGGCAGCAGTATACTCTACAGGCGGCAGTATACTCTACAGGCGGCAGTATACTCTACAGGCGGCAGTATACTCTACAGGCGGCAGTATACTCTACAGGCGGCAGTATACTCTACAGGCGGCAGTATACTCTACAGGCGGCAGTATACTCTACAGGCAGCAGTATACTCTACAGGCGGCAGTGTACTCTACAGGCGGCAGTATACTCTACAGGCGGCAGTATACTCTACAGGCGGCAGTATACTCTACAGGCGGCAGTATACTCTACAGGCGGCAGTATACTCTACAGGCGGCAGTATACTCTACAGGC